GGGGGGGGGTTTGTGGGGTTTTTTTTGGGGGGCCCCAAATTTCTCTTTCAATGTCCTTTCATTTCAATGTCCTTTCATTTGCTATAATTTAAAAATTATTCTGAAGGACCCAGACAAGGATAGACAATTATGTAACGAATCAGTTAACGCCTACTTTACTATAAGCTTGTTCCATAGTGCCAGCACCTCCCTATCTCTGATACTGTAGGACTGGAATTTGGGGAGCTGGAGAGCCTAAATAAGAACTCCCAAAACCACCAAATTTCAAAAATGCCCTGTTGGAGTTTCCAACCAAGGTCATTCGCACCATAGTCCTATATGATAACAACTGAGATACTGGTGAACAAAATCATTAAATATAAATAACATACAAAGTTCAGGTATATTTATGAAAGGAAACATAACACATCAGAGTCCACGAAACCAATCAACTTAAGGCCCCAGACATACATGATACAACAACAACACAAAACAGTCTAGCGTGCACATGTGACATAGCGAGCAGATTTTTAGGAGCAAATTTTTTCTTTTACATTATATTATATTGACTGCTCAGTGTAAGCCTCCATCATACATGACTTTGCAAAACAGCGAATTATGACAGAGTCAATGTACATTCTTTGTATTTGAACAGCATGCATAGCAAAATTTGTACAAGATAACGAAAAGACTTCCGCATAGCTACGTTTTCGCTAGGTGCCTGCTTGACTGGTCATGAAGGCCTACATTAAATCTATAAATTTGACTAAAAGGACATTGTATTGTAGTAGTAGTAGTGGGCGCTATTCCATCATTACAGACGATGGTGTTTGTGTTGACTTGGTCTGCACTTTAAATATCCTTTGCAATGACAAAACATACTGAAAAACAAGCCAGTGAATGCAAGAAAATAATAGTCACAATGAGAGCAACACAGTTCAGTAAGTGTAAATGTGTAAATTATTTTTTAAAATCTAGAGCTCAAATAACTAAATACAAAATATGTAATATCAGTATTTCATTGTTTCTTTGAATAAAGAGAAATACATCAGAACAATACTGGTCATTTAGTGCTGGGAAAAGTAAGATAGACAATAGAGTGAAACAGCAGAAGGAAAGTAAAGAAGTAGGACCTACCAGTGGCTCCCACTCCAACCACCTGCCTCTGTATTTGAAATAATCGACAGTACATGTAAATATGTTACATCAACAGAATTTAGACTATTTTGGAAGCCGGTTACTTTGATTCTTTTGTGTCAAGGCCAACCTGGGCTGAGTGGATACAACAGATGGAGTTTGGAAGCCGGTTACTTTGATTCTTTTGTGTCAAGGCCAACCTGGGCTGAGTGGATACAACAGACAGAGAATCTTGACAAAATATATAGCTTCCTCAACCATGAATCGAACTCATGTCTCCTGCATGCAACAACGATAAACCTTACAATTACACAACACTGGTACAATAAATGGTAATCTTAGTAACAATTTCACAGCACCTACAACACAAATAGGTCATATAAAAGTGCCAAAGATTAGAGGCGTTACTACAAAGTAACCGTCAAAGAAAAGAATGAGAAGAGATAAGGACAAGAAGATACCTAATATTTGATAGGAATAAAGGAGCAATCTACACCAAAGAACTCGCAAACCACACAAAATAAGAAATATGATGGTGCTACACCCTACACCTAAACAAAACTATTTTTTTTAAACGGCACATGAAAAAGTCATTTTTTCCCCCAATTCAATTGAAAATAAGCTAGACTCTACCTACTACATACATATATATATCTATAAAAGAGTAAGTTGATAATTTAACATATCCAAATATAGCTGCAGATAAAAACAGTTTTGCAACAGTTTTAGTTGTTTGATTTTTTTAAGTTTTAGTACAATTTTACAGCACTTGCAACACAATTAAGTCATATAAGTGCCAAAGATTAGAGGTGTTACTTGAGAGTAACATACAGAGAAAATACAGAGGAGAGATAGAGATGATAACTGTTTGATAGGGAAGAAGGAGCAAAGCACATCTGACTGCCTGCCATGCCAACAATCCATAATTTTACAAAAACTTTACCAAAGCATGAGTTGATATAATATTGCAACAAACTCTTTCCCAGTTTCTTAAACACACATTAGCATATTATACATAGACGTTACACAACAACTTGAGTCTATTGTCACACTAATTGTTTCAAAGTTTCAAGACAACGGGATGTTCCCGACTCCCCAACTTCAGGAGATTATAACTTTGAACTCAAATCAACTCAGCTGAAATTGTTTTCACCCACTTGCAGGGCTTGAAAAGACTGTTGATTTGACATCCATAATATAAGACAGAGGAAGGCATTTGACAAATTAAAATTCTTGACATGGGAATTGAACTCAAGCTTTCTACTGGCCAGGGCAACGAGCCTAGAAATCAATGTCTGTTGGGGCTTTTTAGTTTGAACACAATTCTTTTAAGGAAACAACAGCCACAACATTATGAGATTACGACGCCTAGAATTTCTAAACAACCAATATAATTCAAAGTAGCCTTCATGTATTCCAATAATACATATCACGAGCGCAAAATAAAAAAGAGAGACATAAGATGTGACTAGACCTTGATCAAACAGACTTCCAATATACCGGTTAGTCCACCACCGAGTGATAATACTGTTTATTTGTTCTGGAGCCAAACAGCTGAAAACAGCAAAGGAAAATCATCAACTGATAAAAAGTCTACAGTAAACAGCATGGTACATGTAGGCCTGGTGTAAACACAAGTTATAAGTTCTGAGCCCATAAAACAGCCGCCTGATAAAACACATCATGCCTTAATTATAACATAAATTGTTAATTAAAAAATCATGAAATTGTTGATACATCATACAAATAAAATATTACAAAATGAAAGAGCTGGCTGGTTGGGTGGGGGGGGGGGGGGGGGGGGGAGTAAATGTACACAATATACAAAACCAAACCAAAAGACGCGGCAGTGCTGAAACATGACAATGACATAGCAGGGAATAGGCATTCCATCTTGAAAATGTTCAGACCATGACTAAATCAAAGCTCAGTTTCTGAAAGCTGCTAGAAGCATTTCACATCAAGTTATGTGGCAGGGAATTGGAGCATAAAATAAAATATTCATAAAATTGTCCTGGGACTATAAATTTACATATGGCAGATGACTAGCTATACAATATAGTATATAATATATAGTCTTAAATTAACAGTCTAGTCTGCATATAGTGAATGCACACAATGGTGAACACACATAGAGCATATACTTATTATAGGTAATTAATTTTTTTCTTATAAATGACATGCATTTCCCTGTATTTAAAATACATAGCCTACATAGCAAAATTTGCACATAACGAAAAATGTACATTTGTAGTTTCCATGGACTCTCAGGTTTTAAAAGTCACACAAATTTGGCCTCCATTTTCTCGCTAATTTTACCTCAGAAATCAGTCAACCCCATCTCCTTCAATAGCAAATATCTCGACTTCTATTTAAGATAGATGGGTATTATTTTGATCTAAAGAAGGACAAATCAAGAAGCTTTTTAAGATGATACCAATAGCTCCACAACCAAAAATTTTTTACGAGTGCCTGATTCCTTATCGAGACACAACTATACATTCTAAAAATAGAGTGACACACCACAGACTGGTTGTTTGAACCAATCAGAAGTTCTAAATTTAACATTGGCCCCCCACAGGAGAAGAAAGTTCACGGAGGTTCAACCTCTACTCAAATTATCTGGCGAATAAAAAGCTTCAAAACTTGTCAAATTTTGTCGGATTAAATCGCTGCTTCAAAAACAAAATTATTCCCTTCAGTAAATACTAGAAGTGCATTTTCATTAAGAGTATTTTTTTTTCTAACATACCAAAGAAAAAAGTGTAGAGTCATGAAACTGATAAACAGTATTGTACAATCACTGAAGATTCATTAAAACAAACTCTTTCACAAACGAGACTTAATATAAGAAACCCACACCAAAACAAACACATACATTGGGTGACAAACGAAAAAAAAAGGAGGGTTTAGGACGATAGATGTTTGATAGGAAAGAAGGAGCAAACTACACCAGAGCACCCGCCAATCACCCACTAAACGAACTGAGACTAGAGGTAGGGTGGAAACAGTCAACGGAAACAAGAACACACCTTGGAGAGATTAAGTTCCTCGACTCAATATCAACACTCACAATTAAATCATACTATATAAAGTACAATAATGAAAGTTAATTTGCATTTTTTAAATTTTAAACATTCCACCCCCTTCTTCTTAGAAGAGATTATATTCTCTGATTTACTTTCAACATTTTCAATCACATTACAAACTACTAGAGATGCAAACGGCTGGGTCACTTGAGTCCATCAAGAAAAAAAGCTTGACTTGGTGTCAACAAACCTCAATATCATGCGCCCAAGCTTTTGGGCACTTGTTTTATGGAGATGTTGTTCAGAGATGAGAGAAGACTTGCTTCTTTTTTAACCAGACATGATCTTCTAGAACTTCAGTGAGCTTAAAAGTCTATACAAAGTCATTCTAATTTTAATTTAACAGCCATCTCTATTCAGATAATGTAAGAACGAAATTGATTTATCAGATATTTTACTCCCCCATTGACACAATTTAGAACATTTAGGAGGTGACCTGCTTCAACCCTGTCTGGCAAGGCATGGGAAAATACAAGATGAAGGGGGAATATACTCAATGAAAATTCTTCCTGCAAAGATTGAACTCGAGCCTTCTGCACGCAACAGCAAAGCTCCCATAACCGCCACACCAAAGTCATTTCTATGTCTATACAAAACCCTTTTAAAATAAATGTCTGTCTCTATTCAGATAACATGAAAGAGTCTGTAAGTATAAAATCATCTAAAAATAAACAGCCACATGTGTTTTTATTCAAACATCATGAGAGAGTCTGCGCAAAATCATCTATAAATAAACAGCCATACATACATAATATGTGTCACGAAGTGGAGGAATCAGGCACTCGTCAATTTCGGGGCATATGGGGTTATTGGTATCATCTTAAAGCCTGTTCATTTGCCTTCCTTTTGGAGAAAAAAATACCCATCTACATTGAATAGAAGTCGAAATATTTGCGATTGAAGGAGGTCAGGGTCCCTTGGTTTTAAAGGTAAAATTAGTGAGAAAATGGCCGCCGAGGTTTGGTGACTTCCATAGCCTGAGAGTCCTTTGACACTGAACATTTACATTTTTTATGCCTTTAATTGACATTTTTCAGGACAATCCACATAGAAATGTGTTCTTTAATTAAATTAATGGACATGGAAGGTGTTGAGCCAAAAAACAAATTTTTGATTATAATTCCCAAACCTGCGGAAAAATGCCAATTTCTTCACTTTCATAATTTTGACAAGCGCCTGATTTTGCCACGCTGCCTCACATATATAGACATATATAAGTCTGTGTGCTCGCATGTATGAGTGTGTGTAGGTGTGTGTGTGTGTGTGTGTGTGTGTGTGTGTGTGTGTGTGTGTGAGTGTGTGTGTGAGTGTGTGTGTGTCTATTTATACTATCATGAAAGAGTACACAAAATCAATAAAAAAAATAAGTAGCACCGGATGGCCTTTAACAAAATTCCTTGGCAGCGACAGCAGCAAGAGCTGGTCTTCACTTTACTAATCACGTTGCAACCCTATCACAATAAAAATGGCTTCAACATAAATCTTAGAAGTTAAAACAGACATACAAATCAATTGTCGTCGTATGCTCCACCGAGATAAAGACCCAACATTATGGTGAGAACAACACTACAAAATACAACGGCAGCAATGATGTAACAAATAGTTTTTTTCCCGCTCTTTATAGCAGCCGTATAGGTACCCTTGTTGCGCTGGATCTTAGTCTTCATAGCGTACTTGGCTGCGAATGCTCCAAAGCAGCAGCAGCAAATGATGCTCGCGTAGGCCGCACAAATGAGCTGGTTGGTGGTTTTGAAAGGCCTCGGCAAAACTTCTGCGGAATCAATCCTCCGCACCTGTGGACAAATGAAGTGTGGCAAAATAGAATGCACATAAACCAGAGGATTCTCACACAGTGACAATATCAATGCTTTCATTGTCAACCTGAGCGATATCAAAAGACAGCCACTCTACGAAATCTAAAAACCAGGATCTCAAGGGGAAAAAATCGGGATCCGGAGAAAAATCGGGAGAAACTGTGGAATAATGTACATCACACAACTCTTCTGTTATAACTGTTAGGTACGTATCGGGATTTAGACAGTACCTTTCTTCTACTTAGTAGTCACTTTTCGGTTACAATGTACTAGAGGACTATAATAAAACCAAAGAGCCTTTTCAGACGTGCGTTTCTTCACTCTCTCTATATCTGTTTGTACCCACAAACCGAACAATATTACATGGTGGCAGCGGTTGAAAACGGTATATAAGTGTCATTTCTTTACTTTTTGAATCATGGCTGAACACGACACGGATGTTAACATTCAACAGGCCGGTGAAACAACAGTTCATCGCCGCGTGTCTCTACCCCCGCCGAAGCCCTTTGATGGGAAGGCAGAATCGTGGCCTCGTTGGAGACAACGTTTCAACAGGTTTCGTTCGTGCACGGGTCTGCAGAACAAGTCGCAGTCAGAGCAGGTCAGTACTCTACTGTACACTATGGGGGAGGTAGCCGACGACATCCTCACGACTTTGGTAGTCGATGAAAGCACCTCTACATACACAGAAGTGATAGAGGCGTTTGACACTCACTTTGATGCACGCAAAAATATCATTTTCGCTCGTGCAAAATTCAACAAACGCACTCAGTTACCGGGAGAGAGTGTCGATATATTCATCCAAGACTTGCACAGGCTCGCAGATGACTGTGGCTATGGAGCCCTCAAAGATGAGCTCATAAGAGACAGAATAGTTGTCGGAGTAAGGGACGATGACCTGTCCAAACAGCTCCAATTGAAGCTCAAACTCACCCTCAGCGAGGCTATACAAATAAGCCGACAAGCTGAAGCTCGTGACGAAAGCCAGACACTCGTACGACCTCGAGTTGAGCTAGTCACAACAAAACCACACAACATGCGTAGTGCGTCGAGCGCTTCAAAGCCTCCGCACAAACCACACACTCCACACACAGGTTCCAAGAGACCTTGTGGATACTGTGGTCGCCTCCCTAGCCACAAACGAGACGCCTGCCCTGCCAAGTCGGCAGTCTGTGGTTCCTGTGGCAAGAGAGGCCACTATAAAGCAGTTTGCCGTAGTCACCCCAAAGTTCAGGAAGTCGGAATCAACTCCTACCACGTAGCTGAGGCCCCAGACTTTTTAGGTTCCATCACTGTGAACGAAGTCGACAGCCCAGATGAGTGGTCTGCTATCATCAAGTTGAATTCCGTCCCAACAAAGTTCAAGCTTGATACTGGTGCTGCGGTCTCTGTCATCGGAGACAGAAGTGTGGACACAAGTCAACCTCTCAATAGCTGCGGCAAAATTCTAAAAGGCCCTGGTGACACAACTCTGTCTACTCTTGGCACCTTTGAGGCTGATCTAAAGTTCAAAGAAAAAGCCATGAAGGAGACAATATTCGTTGTCAAAGACCAGCCACATGCCCTACTCAGCAGGTCAGCTTGTGTAAAGCTGGGTCTCATTGCCAGACTCAATGCAGTCCACGAGACATCATCTGATTTCAAACGAGAGTTCCCTGATGTCTTCAAAGGACTAGGACAACTGAAAGACCCATACACGATCAAGCTACAAGAAGGCGCTGATCCTGTGTGCTTGTACACAGCACGAAAAGTCGCACACCCTCTACTGCCAAAAGTCAAGACTGAAATTGACCGAATGCTGGCTGAAGGCGTGATCTCACCCGTAACTGAGCCCACAGAATGGTGTTCCGGCATGGTTGTTGTGCCAAAGAGAAACGGCTCAGTGAGAATATGCGTGGACCTCACCAGTCTAAACAAGGCAGTGCGACGAGAAGTCCATCCTCTGGCATCCGTAGACGAACAGCTTGCCAAGCTTGCAGGGTCTACGGTATTCACGAAGTTGGATGCGACGAGCGGGTTCTGGCAAATCCCTCTCGATCCAGACTCCAGAAGGTACACTACCTTCATAACACCGTTTGGGAGATTCTGCTTTAACCGTCTTCCCTTCGGCATATCCTCAGCCCCAGAAATCTTCCAGAGGAAAATGTGTAACATTCTAAGCGGCCTTCCAGGTGTCATTTGTCACATAGATGACATTCTCATTCATGCACCTGATCAGGACACTCACAATAAGCGAGTTAGACAAGTTCTGCAGCGTCTCCAGAGAGCTAAGATCACTCTAAACGACAAGTGTGAATTTTCACAGCCATCAATCAAGTTTCTCGGGCACATTGTGAACAACACAGGCCTCAAGGTAGATCCAGCAAAAGTGGACGCCATTCGAAAGTTCCCTCAGCCCAAGAACGTCACTGAGTTACAACGCTTTCTGGGAATGGTGAACCAGATGGCAAAATTCTCTCCTAACTTGGCTACTGCAACTGAACCTTTGCGAGCATTGCTCAAAAAAGACTCATTGTGGACCTGGGGAGAACATCAAGAGGCATCTTTTCAATGCACCAAAGATGGCCTCACCACAACACCAATACTGGCACACTACTCGCCTGACCGGGAGACTATCGTTGCTGCAGATGCTTCCATGTCTGGCCTCGGGGCAGTACTTCTACAAATACAAGATGGTGGTTCTCGCAGACCTGTCAGCTACATCTCACGAGCTCTGACAGATGCAGAAAAGAATTACGCAGTCATCGAGAAGGAAGCCCTAGCAGCAACATGGGCATCAGAACGCTTCAGTGAATACATCCTTGGAAAGCAGTATACGCTGGAGACTGATCACAAACCCTTGGTCCCTCTCCTCTCTACCAAGGAACTCCACAAAATGCCACCAAGGATCCAACGATTCCGTCTAAGGCTGATGCGATTTTCACCAAATGTGCTGCATGTTTCAGGAAAGCATCAGATCACTGCGGACGCACTTTCTCGTGCTCCGACAAATCTGCCTTCAGATGCTGAAGCACTCTTCGTTGACGAAGTGGCAGACTTCGCTCAACAGGCTATTGACAGCCTCCCTGCTTCACCACAGAGAATTCAAAATATCATCTCACAGCAGAAGAGCGACCCAGAAACGTCGGAAGTCCGGACATACTGTACCAGAGGCTGGCCAGCATACATGCCTGAAAATCCACTTCTGAAACAGTACTGGACTAATCGTCACCATTTCAGCATTGTGGATGATATCCTTTTGTTTGACGATCGTCTTGTCATTCCACGGGATTTGAGAATGGACATTCTCAGTCGACTTCACGAAAGCCATCTTGGCATCACGAAGTGCCGAGCTCTAGCTCAAACTTCAGTCTGGTGGCCCAACATCACCAGTCAGATCGAGGACATGGTGAAGAAGTGCAACACTTGTGCAAAACTTCGACCTGTCCAGAAGGAACCTCTGCTCCCTTCCTCGTTTCCAGACCGACCTTGGTCTCGATTGGCCATGGATCTGTTTGACCTGAAAGGTCAGACCTACATCGTCGTGGTCGACTATTACTCTCGTTGGGTAGAGCTACGCTTACTCGAACAGCTCAACAGCGTATTCGTTATCAATAAACTCAAGTCCATCTTCGCCACTCATGGCATCCCAGAGACAATCGTGTCCGACAATGGCCCTCAATTTTCAAGCGCCAGCTTCCAAGCTTTTGCAAAAGAGTTTGGTTTCATTCACGTCACCAGCTCTCCGAGATATCCTCAGAGCAATGGTGAGGCAGAAAGAGCAGTGCAAACAGTGAAGCTTCTCCTCAAGAAAGCCAACGATCCGTACACTGCCCTCCTGCTATACCGGGCTACTCCTTTACAAAACGGGTATGCCCCAAGTGAGCTCCTCATGGGAAGGAAACTCCAAACCAAAGTTCCCATTATGCAGGACAACTTACACCCAAGTTATGTTGATCTACCCTCTATTCGTCAAAGGGAGGAGAAGAGGAAAGAGATCATGCGTTTGCAATACAACAAGAGACACGGTGTCAAATCTCTTCCAGAACTTTGCCCCGGTGATTATGTCCACATTCGAGACCTAGGCCGACCGGGCATCGTTAACAACAGACACCCCAATCCGCGCTCCTACACAGTGACCACTGAAAAAGGGAGCACCGTCCGCCGTAACAGAAGTCATCTCGTGGCTACCCCAGAGCCTACTACAACACAAGAGCCCGGAGACAACACACCGTCTTCGACACGGCAACCTGATACCCCAAGCCCTGCTCGGGAGTCAGCGCAAACGCCGGCGGCCCCAGTGCAGACACCACGGGTCAGCCGTTACGGCAGAAAAATCAGAGTACCAACGAGACTAGACCTGTGACCCAGTGACTGTGTGACCTATATTTAGCTCTGTGCTTTAAATTCTAATCTAAGTCTCAAGAACTCTTTAATTAAGTGTTGTAAACAAGTGAAACTTATAGAGATCTATTAAAATAGATGATTAAGTACTGGGACAATAACTTCGGGGGGAGATGTGGAATAATGTACATCACACAACTCTTCTGTTATAACTGTTAGGTACGTATCGGGATTTAGACAGTACCTTTCTTCTACTTAGTAGTCACTTTTCGGTTACAATGTACTAGAGGACTATAATAAAACCAAAGAGCCTTTTCAGACGTGCGTTTCTTCACTCTCTCTATATCTGTTTGTACCCACAAACCGAACAATATTACAGAAACAGCAAATCACCAGGGTGATTGCCAAGCTGTCTTTAAAAATGTCCAGTACGTTTTAGAAAAATCTGGGGCACTAGTGGGTGATTCTGTAATTTTGATAGGCAGTGGGGATCACCCAGGTAGTCTACTTCTTTGTCTTTTTCATTGCATTCCCATGCTAAATCTCGGGTAGCTTTCGAGTTCTGTTGTAACCCAGGTAGTGCCTGGCATTATTTAATACCACATCTTTAAATACATGCAAGTGCGGGTGGTATGAAAAAGATTCTTGAACATGGCAAAAGTGGACACTGGCTATAAAAGATTGACAAGAACTGGTATAGATTAACATTAATTCAAAATGTTGTTTATGAACCTATCATTGAAAGAAACATTCAAAAATTTGTGACCCATGACTATATTATGTTTTAAACACATATTTGACGATAAGTCTTACATTAGTATCAGATCAACCTCCACTTAACGAAACAGTACGAATTGATGACAATTTCTACTTAACAGGACATTAAAAAGATTCATTATAGTGCTGTAAAAAATTCATTGCACAACTTATCCTAAAACGTCTCTATAACGAGTGAATCAATGTTCCTCACACTTTGCACAACACAGTTTGTATCAATTTCTCTATTTGTCAAGTGGGAACAAAATGTTAAATGTTTATATTCGACTCAAGATTAATTATAAATGCTATAACCACAAAGTATACCTGTGTAAATGTCATAAATATAAGAAAAAACAACTTACTAGGTGAGGGAAGACAAAAGTATCTTCCTTCATTGGATTCGAGCCTGTGTTTTTCTCATGATCTTCAATAGCAAATGTCGCCACATTCCCTGAATCAGCTTCTTCACGTTGCTTGAGTGTAACCTCAAACTGAACCGAACTTTCTTTGTTTTCTGAATCTGGACTCATGTCAATTTTAACATCTTCCACCTTCTTTTTATCTAAATCAGGAGAGGCAGCCGTAGACCCTTCGGATGCATAGTCTATGTGCTTGACCAAGGGAGCCACAGTTGGTAAAGAGCTGTCTGTCATTTTTAACTTTTGTGAATGAAATCACTCCTGTAGTGTCCTGCAGAAGAGTAAAGAAAACATGAAACCCTCATGTCACAGGAAATTATGAAAAAATGCAAAATGGGGTTTGACCAATATTCACTCACGACAGGGGGTGGCTTGAGGGGCTAAAAAGTATGCGTGCACAATAAAGCTGTCGCAAGTTGAAGAGAACTGAATCTATTTGCTTGCAAAAATTCAACTTTGTTTATCCTGCATCAGAATCGATTCACTCAAGCAACACTTCGCCAGCACTGCACCATTAAAAGGCTCTATTAACTCAGAGGCTTTAAAAAGTATGTCACATTGAACTTGCTCAACTTCAGTATCACAAAAGTCAGGCAGGGAAAGACTAGGAATCAACCTCTATTCACTGCTTGGAGAGCACCAAATTGAAATCGGGGTTGCGGAGCAAAATATTAACCTAATGCTGGCATATGGGATTGTGTATTCTAATGAACAATTAACAGATTGCGATCTCATCTCTCTTTAGATTGCCAACCATTGCCATAAAATACAATGCACATATTTGATTTTGATTGTTCCATCTTACTATAATTAGATGCTAATTGGGGATCTAATCATTGTGGTCTAGAGGTGACGGTGTTTGCCTCTCATTCAATAGGTCCCGAGTTCGAATCCTGAGAGTGACAAGAAAATTTTCTTCTACTAAACTTATAAACTAAACTCCTTTCACCTCCTTTACTCTAACCATGTTCTGTCGTCTAAAATTTCTGGTCTTCTCAGAAAAGGGCGGAAAAATCTTGGAGGTCCCGGGTGCATGTTGTGCATGTTAAAGATCAATATAATAAGAGTTGGCTTCAGCCACCACACTGGCAATTGGACATTAAACTTGTATTTTGCTTGTAATTTTTATAATAATGCGTATTCATTGAATTTTTTAATCAATTTATTTTTTTAATTTATTAAATTTAAATAAGATCTATTGCTATCCAACAATTAAACAACTTTGGGAACCTAATTAACCAACATCTTAAGCAATAAAAAAAATTACTAAAATTAGACCCGTCGCCGTCGCCATAAATTTAATTTATTTTCATTGGACTGTTGTGTAATCATAAAACTGCTGGCAGATTGGAATTTCTGAGTTAACTCCCTTGCACAGCCCATTCCTCCACTTCTGTGTTTCTCAAGTTTCTGATTCTGTTCAGATCTCTATCTCACTCATGTTGCGTGTAGTCTAGATTCTATACTATGCCTTTTTCCGAACCTAAGACCCTCATTTCAACTCATCCATCCCCTGCCCACAAACTGGCTTCCCGATTCCCCCCCCCCCCCCCCTTCTTCCCCCGCCAGAGAAAATTTGGTTTTAACTAGATCTAGAGAAATCTATATATCTAAATCTAGATCTAGATCTAGATTATATAGATCTAGATCTAGATCTAGATCTAGATCTAGAATCTAGATATCTAGATTCTAGATCTAGATTTAGATCTACTCTACTCACACTCACAAAAGCCTGGCTTGTTGTTGGAATGCTGAGCCTTTGACCTTAGCCTAGTGCCTTAGTTATATATTAGATCTAGGCTTTTTATTAGGCTAGATCTATCCGTAATTATCCTGAGGCTGGGGGTTTAAATGCTGTAAGCTTAGATGGTATCTAATCTAGAATCTAGATCTAGAATCTAGACTATCCAGCTGTTTGACGACTCGCCTATGATGCCAAGTTCTCGAATCCAGCCTGTTTTATAGCCCTACCGGAAAATTTATCTCCAGCGCTCCTTTTCCGCCTTCACTCTCCACCCTTTGTCACACTTTGTGGTCAAGTGCACTGGGTCTGTCGCAACTGCACTGAACACACATTTCACGGAATCACAACGTCACAGACATGAGGGAATGAGGGAAAGAATTGCGCAATGTCGGTCTTGGGATGGGAAGAACACGGACCTAGGCTATTTATAGATTTAACCTCCTTGGAGAAAAAGAAGATAACCTGATTCGAATATCGAATATAAAACGAATAGTTCTCTCAAATATCCGACTACGGAATAAAGAACTGATTTGAAACAAAGATAGTACATAACAAGATGGGCCACTTCTCTCTTTGAGCCAATTAAAAAAGTGTCCTCAAAATTCGGTGGCGCCCTCTTCACAAAAGCGCACCTTTTGCGAACAGAGTTATCCTACTTGAGTTTAAAAAATCAGAGTGAAACAAGCAAGTTTTTGAATGAATTTCGGAAGAACGCTTTTTTTGAATGGTTACGCTGACAAAAAACCTCTTCCGGAGGAAAGGGTGATTGTTTTCTTCTTTTAATTTGACTTTAGAAAGAAAGGCGAGAGGTCATTAAAATTTTTAAAAAACTAAAACTCCGTACTGAACGAACCCGAACTGCTGATGAACAGCAGTCGATCTGCGCACGCAAGGAGGTGCTATTCCTATTCTTCTTCTGGAAAAACGAAAGAGAGCTTCAAAACAGACTGCAGCGCCATCTGAAGCAAAGAGCATACTTCCTGCGGACACTTTTTTTGGCTGAGTGGCCCATCTTGTTATTTACTATCTTTGTTTGAAATGCGCAAAAATAAGTCTTCGACGATGCATTTTGCCAAAGTTAAAATCAAAATGTTGTTTGTGGCTGTAATTATCTAGGAACCTCTTTTCATATTTAATGCCTCTATTTAGAACTAACGAAATTTACTTTAATTTCGGTCGCAAAATAAAATCTATAATTATATAGCCTAGATTGAAAAAATCCTCCTATACTATATGAGTAATTAATGCTCCAGACAAATAAATATTAAATGCATTCAAACCCATCCGTAAATTTCGGAGGTGGGAGAAAAATACGGTCAAAAAGCGAACATTAAAAATGATAGACATCTTACATAGATTAAGGCCTAATAAAACTTATTTGAATATTTATTAATAATTATGTATGTGCCAAAAATAATTGAAATCGTTACATAAATACTTGAGTAATTGCAAAAGTTATGTACAGCAGTCTGGAAGATGGGGGTTCTCGTTTAATGTGTTCACCTCTCATTCAAATTAAGGTCCCGGGTTCAAATCTGGGTAGCGACGGAAACATATGTTTCTTCTCTAAAATTGTCTCCTTTCACCTTCTTTCCTTCTCTCTTGCAATATTCTGTCATACGTCTGTTTTCGTCTCCACTTTCTTCAGCCACCCCTCACCTCCTTTATTTGCCCCCTCTACTGGGCTCCTGGCTCTTTCTGCAGCCTTTCTACTTCTACTGCTACTCCTTGCTCCTTAACTAGTTAGTAAGTAGTATATTATGGTTTTACGGCGCTCGCAACTGCAGCTCCTTAACTGCTGTTTTCCGGCCACAGTCCTGATCTTCCAGTTGGTTAAATATCTACTCCTAGCCTTCTTGGACAAGGGCGAAAAATCTCGGATGCCCTGTGTGCAAGTTGAGCACGTTAAAGATCCCTATTGGTGGTAAAAAAAATATATAAGAGTAGGCTTCGGCGGCACCCTGGCAAAATTCAAAACTTCCAACCCATTGAAAATGTTTGGTGTGTCTTCGCGCTCACATGATCTTATGCAGTTGCGAGCGAAGAAAACACTTAACAAAATCTTTTTTTTTTTAATCTGGAAGATCCAATTTGCCTAGACTGGCCTGACAGGTGCAACTAATCAAAATCTATTAATAATTTGTACTTCCAACCTACAGATTTCGAGTGGCATATAATATTAATAAACAGCTTTGCCCAGTAGGTTATAATACTTGCAACTGAAATTTTATCAATAGAAGAAAGCTGAGACATGACACCATTTGTGACTTGTCAAAAAAGAAATGACAGAAACAAATTTTACTTCTAAAAAGCTAGTTTTTAAGGCCAAAGTTTGAATGAATTTTGCTTTGGAAGTTTACACAGTGCGCAAAGCTTGATCAAGGAGGAAGCGAGTTCTCTTATTCGATTATCCGAATTTTCAATCGGGTACCTTTCTATGATTTCTTACCTACTACATTAATGTGTGTTCATCACAGCCCTGCCAAGGTCAAACCGGCCTTAACGGGATACAACATCTCAACTGAAAGAGTAAGAACGATCGAGACACTCGATAAAATTTCTTCCCACTCGAGAATCGAACTCGGGTTTTGCACCCTGCAAAGTTTCCTGTGAAAGTGCTACAAAATACTACAAATCAAAAGACAAACAAAACAAAACAGAGCCATACAAAGCAAAACAAAATGAAAACCCTTGTAAAAGCAGGTCAAGCTACTTAATTAAAGAGACGCCCAATTTGGAAGCCCGTCCAAAGTCTCTTAATCTTAACCAGGGGTCACCAAAACAACTGACTGCCTGGGATGTCAGTTCGTCCGGCTCACCGCCGTGCGGGGATGAATCAGAAAAGAAAAGAAAAAGGTAAAAAAAAAAAATTTAAAAGAATAGAACAGAATCGAAAAATTTAGGAATTTGTTCGTAACGCACTTACTCATCAAAACAAGTACGACATGTGTTGTTGTTTTTTTTAATGAATTATTTAGACTTATTAGATCTATACTAGTCAGTGTATGCTATTGCTCGACGTGTCATTGTGAGTGACAGAACTTTAATTTAATTATCATATTTCGAAACGCAAATAAATCTCTTCACCTTCTTCTTTAGCTGTATGTGCGTGTGTGTGT